GGCTTTCGGGCTTTGGGTCTGCAGGGGTTGCGCATGAACCACGGCATCTTCAACTTCGTGTGGGATACGTCCGCTATCCATGGACAGCCTCAAGCCTGCAAACTCTGACTTCAGGCGGAAGCACCATGCAACGGATCTACAGTTTGAATGGCAAAGGCTGTATGTAGGCTTTGGGTTTGAGGATTTTGTGTTGCAGACAAGACACGAAGTATGGTGTCGTCGTCAGGGATGCCAGTTCACACATTGCCTGCATGCAGGAAGCTGACATGATGAACTCTCCAAAATAATGACGCAATAAAATCAAGTGCCGCGCAATCTAGGCCACGCATGCTTCTTACGAACTCTCTTGCCAGAGCCTGCGGACTGGAGTTTTTCTCCTGTACTTTGATGGGCGATGGGCTTTTGTAGCTATGTTGAGCGACTTTTAAACAACACAAGCACTCACCAACACAAGTTGCTCTGCATCCCGACATGAAAAGCGGTCTTCAAAGCACGGAAGAAAGACACTCTTGATGGCTTCTGCTTCTAGACTCTAGACCTAACCTTGTGCTATGACTGGTCCTGCACGGCTTGTCGTAGAGCAATTGCGCAGGTTTGTATAGAGCTTTCTCAGGGTTGTTTATTGGGTGTATAGTGGACCTAGGGGTTCTAAAGTTCGGGACGAGGCACTATAATAAGGGAACGCCATGCCCGTTCCCTTATTATAGTCCCTCGTCTCGAAGGGCCATGCCCACATCAGATCCGTGATCTACCAGCATCACAACAGGGTGTACGGGGTAATAGGCTTCTTCATCACAGGGACATGTTTTACTGATGAACTCACCAGTTTGGTCTAGAAATGTGCTCCGTCACTTCTACAAGTCCCGGACGTCTTCCAAACCATCGGATCGCAGCGACGACCCATATCTAGCACCCGAGTGATGCTTCGACTCGCACACTCACATAGACCCGGCACAGATTCATGGGTCGGATATGACTACAGTGACATGGTCTAGAGTTGAGGGTTTAGGGCTTGGTTGTGGGCATCCTGTCTTTACACCTGGTACTGGAATATGCGAGCACTCTAAGCCACAACCGTAATTAACGCCGTCTCTCTCTCTCTCTCTCAATATATATATATATATATAAGATTTATGTAGCTTTATTGACTGTATTGTATTCCTACATTCGACTTTTCTGGTGTCGCTATAACTTTTCCGATTGAAGTTCAGCCAAGTCACGTAATACAATCGCTTCTTGGCCTCATGCAAGATGCCATGACGTGAGTGACGCATGTCCCCTTGTTGTCATTCTGTCATGGAAGAAATATATACGAAAGCTGTGCGACCCCCTCTCCCCCAAAGCGTGGTCAGAGCCCTTCCAAATCCCACGTGGAACGCAGATTGGCATGTGGTGCCCTGGTGCTAAACCCTCTTCTACCACCTGGACTTGGTTAGTATGAACTCTAAAGAAAGCCCGTGCAAACCCTAAACCACACAGCCCCGTAAACCCTACAGTTTAGCCTAAACACCACAGAACAGTTGTGATCCATTGTCCGGCACAAAATCCGAATCTATGCTCGCTGCAGGGTCAGTTTAGTTTAGGCTTTACATGGCTTAGGGTTTACGGCAACTGGCTTCTGGGTCTTACGATTCAGGGATTTGGGGTCTAGTTTAGGCTGTACGGTGTTGCCCCCTTGTGGTCCCTAATTAATGCAAGTATCGGATAAAAAACCAAACCCTATTCTAATAAGGTCCCTATATTAGGCACCTATGGAGATGCTTGTGAGCCCTTTCGTGTTCATTGCCGAGTGGCTTTGAGGAACTGCACACGCGTCTCGCCATTCGGAGTATCAATGAACTCCTCGAGAACATGTGAAGTCTTCGCAGGCTGTCGCGCAGATCTCATCGAGCCCTACGACAGTTCGATAGGTCCGATAGGCTTTCTTCTCTCCGACCCCATGACCTCATAGTCAAAACAAGCCCCAACAAGACCAGAAAGGCACGACAATCTCAATCAGTTTTAGAATCTCCCGCATTAGTCCGCGCGAACCCCAAATCCCGGCTCCATTTACAGGTCAGGGTCTGTACCAAAGCAAATCGACCTTGAAGGCAGCAGGCTGTCACGCCCTGAATCTACAAGGAGGCTTAAGCAGAATAGGGGCGTAGTGCGTGTATGTATGTACGTATGTGTATATATATNNTGTATCTATGTATGTATCTATGTATGTATGTAGGCATGTAGGTATGTAGGTATGTAGGTATGTAGGTATGTAGGTATGTAGGTATGTAGGTATATAGGTATGTATGTATGTATGTATGTATGTATGTATGTATGTATGTATGTATGTATGTATGTATGTATGTATATGTGTGTGTATATATATATATACGTATGTATGTGTATATATATATATATAAGTTATACCATAGGTATGTAGTTACTATGAGGCTCAGAGGCTCCCAGGGGGTGCCACTACCAACTACTCGGACCCCTATATTTTGACGAGAAAGTCCTCCGTCCCATTCGGCATGACTTGCGTGGCGGACTTGCCAGACAGAACAATGATTTCCCTGCAGCTGCGGCGGTTTAGGGTTTAGAGTTTAGGGTTTAGGGTTTAGGAGGGTTTAGGGGTTAGGGTAGGTTTTAGGGTTCGACAGTAGACGGTTGATGCTGGAGGCCGGGGTGCAGGACACCAAAATCTAAGGTTGAACCCATGGGCCCCTAACATAGGCCCATACTAGGGGCCCATGGGTTCTACTCTAGACAAAGAAACAAACAACTGCACTTCATAAGCTAGCGACTAAAGAAGATGGGATTATAAGGGTTACTGCAAGGCTATAAGGCTTACTATAAGGGTCTTTGCCCTGACATGGTAGCAACAAAACTTGGGTGAGCTCCATCCACTTTTACAACCTTTGTCAAACCCTCAAAAGCCTTGGAGGAACATTCTTGACATTAACTCACCCGCAGCCTAGCAGACTTGCGCCTGAAAGGATGACTCGAGTTGATGGATTGGTTGAACATGTCGTACCTGGGCCAGCAGCTTGTGCGTAGGGGCGCGTGCAAAGGTTTCGCGGTTTAGGCATATGCATCCGGTCCCGCTCGATTCGATGTTGGACTTCGGCAGCGAAATCTTGATTGCAAGGTAGGAACTCCGTGTGACGCACTGGCAATGGCAACAGCTAGGCTTTGTAGGAAGTCGCAGTGTTACCTAAAGGGGCATTGTAATAAGTGCGGTCAAAAGGAAAGGTGCGCATATACTAACCTTGCAAAATGGTGATGTATCGGGATCATTTGCTTTCCAGATCAGGTGTTCTGAGTCTGGATGTCGAAGACATGCAAAGCCAGCTCGGATTCTGGGAGTTTGGAGTAGGGGGACCCTTGGGGATATAGACCCTCTCAATAAGGCTCCTCTTACGAGAGCCAGAAGGGTCCCCTTTAAGGGGTCTCCCTAATACTACCTAGGAGATTCTTGAAGCAGATGGCAATGCGACGACAGCACTCCATCCTGTGGCTACTGCCCGAAAGATCAATTGCATAGTGTTAGTGCACTAAGCCTGGCTGCGACCAAGCAAAGATACATAACCCCTAAACCCTAAACACCCTTTTCTCAAGGGACTCGACTGCTGCCCTTACTGCCCAGCTTGACCCACAAGACAGTACTCATGCCTCTGACCCCAAAAACCCTGAACCCTAAAACTACCTCAGCTCCTGAACCTCTCTTCTCAGGAGTTCCCAAGGCACCATTCGGCGCGCATCCAGTCTATCGTAGAAGCCAGAAAAAAAGGCTCCTGAACAAACCAGTGAATAGATATACATCTATCATATACATATACTAGTTACATAAGAAACCCTAACCAACTGAATCATAGAACGCAATTGACCTAAGGAACCCTTATACATCCCTGTAGTTACTCCTGTGGTGAAGGAGCTGCAGGGCCGGTACGTGCCACCGAGCGGCGAAGATGTGTAGGCAGCCACTCCAAGGGTGACGTCGTCCTGATACAGGGTTCAGGCTTGTTTATGATATATAGGCTTAGGGCTTATAGGTCTTACAGGATTTGGGGTTTCAGCACTCACAACTGAGACAAGCCTCGCGAGGATTCAAGGCTTAGGGTTTCGGGCTCGCGGGCGTGTAGCGCACAAGCATTTCTTGAAATATAGTTTCGTAAGCCTTGTCAAAGTTACAACTTACAACAATGCAAAAATGCGCCCCTCCCGCCAACGTCGCGAAAGCTAGCCTTATTGTTGGAGTTGGAGTTCACTTGGCTTTGGACCTGATGCCTCTTGCGGTGCACAACACGCCATGGCCCTGTGTCCACACTCTACGTCCTAAGCCTAAACCTTAAAAATTCAGAGGGCCCTAAGCCCTTAGCGCCATAAACCTCATAGCAATTTAAGGCATCCGTACAACCTCGCCAGTATTTGTGGCTCTGGATTTAGGGGACCTAACCCCTCAACCCTGAAAATGGTTTGGGCTGGACAACTTGGTGAGAGATGCGGCCGGTGGATCCAGAAGATCTCACTTAGACAAGTCGCTGTCACTCTGTCACTCTTCGGGCTTAGGGTTAATTTTAGGGGCTTAACAGACTTAGAGAGGCAAGAAACACCGGCCTGGAGATTGACAAAGATGTTGCTCATCGACCTCGATCATGAAGCTCCGGGGCATATTCGACAGAAAATGGTCTTACTCAGGGGGTCATGCAGGATTCTGCGCAATTACTGTAATCATGATGCCATGGTTCGTATCACGCTTGCTTCTTCTGGATTGGTGGCGACCCTTGCGCTGAGGTTCTGGAAGTGCGGAACGGCTGACGGTTACTCTTAGCGGGGACACCCCCGTTCTCGGCATGTGCGATGGTTACCGCATCAGGCACTGTGTGGATCGTGACAGACTCTACCTTATGCAAGCCGCGACCGAAATGATGGCACAGTAGTTTGAGCGAGTCATGCAACACGGGCGACAGTGTGATGCATAGCTTCAATGCCAACAAGCCAAGTTGAATGTTCCGTGAACCTCATGCTGAAATCCTGGCACCAAGAATGTTGCAGCCCTTTTTGTCGAGCTGCCCGTGCCGCACATAAACGCCCAGCTCGTAGCCTCAGGCAGCTTCATGTACAGTGGGAGAAGGGCGAATATGTCACCAGGCGAATCTTTCACCTTATGAACCCTAAACCTTAAAGCCTGAACCCCTTCTAACTATATAGTAGCCCCTATAGTACCCCTCATTAAACCTTGTGAACCCTGGACACCAATACCCTTATGACTACACTTAATCACCCTCGTAACCACCACCAAACATTAATGCTTCAGATCTAGCTCGACCTTGAAACCTCAAAGAAAGCCTCCGCCCGTGCGCTGTGACGGAGGTCAAAGGCACCACAGGCTAAACCCTAAACACTAGACCCTCTAGGGCAGAGCCTCCAGGGTTTAGAGGGCTTAGGATTTAGGGCCGTTTAGTGTTTAGGGTTTAGGGTTCTTCAAACCCTTATAAACCGTAAATCCCCAGGCTCCGAGATACTCGAACCCTAAACCCTAAACCCTAAACCCACGGTTTAGGGTATTGTTTCCGAGCCACTCTCGTTGAGCAGTGTGTTGGCATAGTTTCCTGGGCAAAGAAACACGCAGGCGACTTCCAGCTCTGCCATCGGTATCTTTGGGTTTCGGCCGGGGTACACAGTGTGTGTGTGTGTATACATCTATATAATATATTACATGGTCTGTAATACAAATGTGGGTGCATATATATATATATATATGTATATATATATATATATATATATATTAGATGTGTATACACACCCGCCCGTATATGTACGCACATAAATGAATGCACAATAACTAAGTTAATGAATGAGAAGGTAAATGAATGAATGAACTTTAAAAGAGCAATAAAGTGCATGGTATAGATAATGTATACTGCATCTATCGACTAACAGTCAAGTATTCTCGACGGATGAGCATTTCAGGGGGTTCCCCTTAACCCTAAACCCTAAACCCTGACCTTAAAAGGACATCCCTTCTCCGAGGCTGCTCAGACTCCGATCAATGTGGAGTCGGACGCATACCTGGGGCGAAACATGTCCAGCCATGGCCTACCCCGGCCTACCCCGTTTGGGGTTTAGGGTTTAGGGTTTAAGCTTTAGGGTTTAGGGTGTTCGAAACATGTCCGCGTGCAAAAACAGCACTCAGCCTGCTTCCGGAGAACCCCTGTCATTCATTCAAGACTACCCTATACGCTAGACATCTACCCCGAGACATCCCCATAGACCCTGAAGCCCAAGACCACGCACGCCCCCAAACCCCACATCACGTCAGAACCCTCATTGACTTGTGGGGGCCGTGTTGCTATCATAAGGAACCCCCAAAACCCTTTTCTAATCATTAAGGCCCCTACAGTACCGTGGGGGTCATGCGGGATCTTTGCTCGTGTGCTTGACCTTCAGAGGTTTGAGGTGTTCGGGACGCCTCTGGGCTTCGGTTGGAGCGCCTTTGACCCCATGTGCCGAAGAATCCTTTAAGAACCCTTAGGCACAAGCCTTATATACCAGCTCCAGAAGCCGAAGATTATAGTGGCCAGCGGTCGCTCACACTTGGCGCAGAATACATTGGGGAGCTTTCAACTCAAAGCGAACATCCCCCAGTAAAGATTTCAAGGGCTCACAGGGCTTGCTGTTGGAGCAGAGGAAGGCTTACAGGGTTCGTGGAGGGATTAACTAGAGGGTGCATGGGTTCATGTGATGGTAATCCCCCAACCTCAACGATCATCGACTCCTCTTCCTGCGGCTCTGCTGCGGGTCTTCCCCGGCAGGTACGAGCGCATCGTATGCATCTGCATACTCGGGGACCGCCCCTGCAAAATTCGGCTGGTAACAGGAACACCAAGCATGAGGTTCCTAATGGAATCAGGTGCAGTGCAGCGTGCCCAGTGCTGAGCCTGTCTTCGCATCCATGGTCAAATTTGCCATGCGCAAATCGAAGGCAACGGTGTTGTTATCCTGGGCTTTGCTTTCCAGAAGGACAAAGCTGACTTCGTGGCCAACAGTGGTATACCACCGTTAATACAGGCAGTGCAACTGGAAGTATGACCAGCACCGCCCATACAACATAGTGAGTGTGATTATGATGACGATTACCCTCGCCAAGCCGGAAGGATCCGCAGTCGTAGCAAGAAACGTAAATTCGCCAGACGAAGTACCTACGCGGCAGAGGCAACCACCAGTAGGTAGGTAGCAGGCCATCTTTGCAAGCACGAAATGAACGGTCCTACTGACATAACTAGGCATAGGATAGAAGAGCTCTATTGGGGCTTCAGCAGTAGTGTCATATCTGCTGCTGCTGCTGCTGGTACTTCTACTGCTGCTAAAAATATTTCCGCCACAGCCACCAGCTAAACCCTAAACTCCCCTGATAACCAACACAAGGGTGGTGACGAAGCCAGGTCTGCAGACGCGGGAGCGGGTCCACAGGCAACGCTGTAAACCGATGGCCATGCAATATGTTTGCAGGCTTTAACCTGCGGCCAGAATCCCAAACCCTTTGATTCCTGAATCCCAAACTCTTATTATAGGCCAAAAACAGCCTAATACCTGAATCCCTAGGCATTCTGCCGACGAACGATACCTAAACTCCCAACCCCACAACAGCCTGATACCCAAATCCCACGCAAACGGCTTTTTGTTGGGCTTGGCAGCCGAATCTTTCTCCTCCTCGAGGCGTTCCTTCGTGGCTGAGTTCATAAGATCAAAAACATCTTGTCACTTATTGTTATTACTATGACCATTATGAGAAGTAGCATTGCTCTGATATTGTTATTACTACTATATTCCTGTTAATATTAAACTTGCAAGTCTGTAGGGCAGTACAATCCCAAACAAGTGTAAAGTGTAATTACTCACTCAGCTCAACAAGAATCATAGAGCCACCGAAGCCAAGGATGCCGGAGGTTGTAAATCGCGTTGCCTCCAGCGCTGTAGGCATTTGCTTTCTGGGTTTCAGGGTGCAGGAGTTTCGTGCTTGCAGTTTAGGTTCTAGGTTTTAGGTTTTAGGGTTCAGGGTTCAGGAGTTTAAGGCTTGCAGTTAGGTTGCAGAGTGAGAATCGTAGTATTGAGGATCGAGAATAAAGTTCCATTAGTTTGGGGAACTCCCATACCGGGACCTAGAGAATCAGAAGGCTTTGGTTTGTGTATGAAAAACTGCAAGACTGCCGGTTTGCTCATGTGTGTACACAATACATGACATGGGGTTCAACACCCATGTGATCATAACCGCATGCACCTTAAACACTTCACCCCAATCCCTAACCACGAATGATTGACCTTACTGGTTGCTGAGGCTCGCCCACCATCTGCAGGCTTCTAAGAATTTGGAGTTTAGGGTTTCGGGGCTTGGGGTTTAAGGGTTCAAGTGGATTCAATTCGGTTTTAGGGTTGACGGTTCAGCCAAGAGACCATTTATGTGCATGATCAAGTCGTCGGGCATCTGCTGAAGAAAAACATCCCATCCATCACCTGCGCAGTGAAAGGGTCTCCTGTTGCGTTTTTTTGGGGGGTAGCCTACTAAACTCGCAAGAACGAACACTTCTGTGTACGCATATATTGTGCGTATGTATAGATAAAATATGCAAAGAAAACTTTTTGTTAGCATACCTTATATACACATGCATATCTTGTTGGCGTAGGTTTCAAAGTTAGGGTACCGTCTCGGTTTTGGAAACCCCAACATACGAACTACGGCGGTACCAGACATAGGAACTAAACAAATAATCATCTGTCTGGTGCTCAGTAGGGAATGGGGGAATGATAGTCCCTTAAGGTCCCTTATAGTAGTCCCTATAACCCATTCCCCCATTCCCTACTAAGCACCAGACAGTCATAGTAAGCCCCACATCCGGATCTCTCGGACGCAAGAGTGTTTTGGTAGTCGGGGGAGGCGCTTCCGCCGGGTTGGAGGGCTTGAGAGGTGGAGCTCATGAAAGCTTTAGGATGGTCCGAACCCTAAACCCAAAGCCTTGTTATAACTGTTATGAAGACCTTTAGTCCTGTGCTCCTGAAATCGAACTATGATGAGTGCTATAAGTGTGTAGTTCTCTAGATTAGGGTCTCTTT